AATGTTCGTGTCTCTGTCGTTGTTCTTCTTCTTCTTCATATTGTTCTCTCGCATAATGAAATGGCTTGAATTCGATGATTAGCTGTGATTGTTGAGCACGAAACATGGAAAACTCTCTTTATCAAATATCCATTTAAATTAGTCCCCAAAACGAGGAATTTAATACCTTTCTCATTCGTTTTTAATGTAAAAGTTCTCGTATGTGGCAAAAGTGTTATCGACATCGAGACAGGCTTAAACTTCTGGTTGGTTTCATCGGATAATTCAATTGAATTTCCCGTTCAAAAAACAATCTGCCAAATATTCGAGCGCATATCACTTCCTCCACGAAATAATTTGTCACAAGATTTGATTCACTGAATTTCATTTAGATTTTGTTGTTAGCGCTACTATTCTTGTGGCATTGATGTGGGTCTTGCCACTAATTTTATTCGCTCGCGCCTAAACACATAAATTCATACTGTTGTAGTAGTAACGCTAATCTCTCGTTGTATCACTTTGAACGAACGCAACCGAAACATTGATATTTAATTTGATTTTTATGTGGCAAAACCATTAATCCATTTGGATTTCAATTGATTGATGGTATACGAAATCGTTTCCAATAAGTGGGATAACTCGATAAATATATGATGGACACGATGGGTTTTTATGTCTTTTTCATTTGATTAAATATTCTACATCTCATTTGGTTAACAAATGTGCGTGATTAATCGCTGCATTCGATTTAAATGAATTGTGCATTCATTTTTAGAAGTAGCATTTTTTGGAGGAAACCATTATCGTATAAATCATCATTTTTTTCTTCCTTTCGTTGGTGCGTCCATTGTGTGTTATTGCTTGTGTATTTCGTTGAGAAGTCATTGACTTCAATGCTCAGTGCATTGTTCAATCACGTTTAGCCATCGTATTTGTAATATTGTGAGTTGTGATCAGCAACGTCGTCATTGTTTGTGAACATTTTCTTCTTCTTATTGTACGCCGTTTTTTCAGCCATTCAATAAATGCATTCATATTCTTATTCAGCGTATGAATTATTCGAAAAAAAAATTGTAATACTAATTTTCGTTTCTCCTCCTTACTGTCAATAGCACCAATTCAATTTAATCTCGATGGGTTCTGAGTGCGCTTCGAACGAAAGAAATTCCATTTGTAATTCTGATCTAACACGCACACTGCAACACCCAAAATGCACAGCACCGATTTGAACACATGTTTTTTTCTTCCTGAATACTTAATGCATATACCGTAATTTTATTGGGCCCAAAGCGAGCGATAATTGCTTCATTTGAGAAAAGATGATGCGTCTTATGTCGACTTCTGATGGGATTTTAACCGATTTTCAAATTACTGTACGCATCATTGAACATTATCGAGGAGGTCGCAGCACGTAGCCAAAGCCGAAAAATAGTCGTTCATCTTGTTGTCGTTTATCAATCTTCAGGCTCAGTTTGAGTTTCTCATCTCATGTAATAGCTTATAATGTGGTGTTTTCGGATTTGTTCAACTGTTCAAATCAATTTGGGTCTTCTAACACTCGAAATATGTGAACGTTCCAATGATTTCAGCACTCGTGTGTGTGTGTGTGTGTGTGTGTGTGTGTTGGCCGCAATTGAAAACCCAGCAAGTGGTGAGAAGCAAGTCATCTGCTGCAAGTGAAACACACTTAGAAAAGAATCAAATTCCATATGTGAGGAAAGTCAATGATTTCTATCTACCAGATATCAATGTTATTTCAACGTCCACTCCGACGCAGACGGAGATTTTCTTACTGTAGACAAACAACAACACGAAGGGAAAAAGCACCAAGTGACCAGCAAAGTTTTTTATGTCGAAGTCACGAAAGTTGCTGGTGGAGAAGTTGCCGGCAACTCGTCTCTTTGGTTTCATTACTTTGATTACTTTTATGGCATAGACATTGAAACTGTGCACACAGCAACACATTGTCGGGCGATAAAAACGAATCAATGCAAACCGGCAACATTGGGAATATCCTGTCTTCCGACAGATACAGACACAAAGACGGCGACGAGATGCATTCAACCAAATTGCATTTTAAACTGATGTAGTTTTTTTTTGTCCATTGCAATTTCATGAGACGTCGCGGTTTTCTTTCACGCTTTTCTTCCACATCGTGCATCGGCAGTTTATCTGCGATTGCGGCAATTCCATTACAAAATACTGTTATTATACTCTGTTTGCCCGTATTGATTTCCTCCATCATTTCCATTTCATGGATTCTAGATTTCTATATATATTACTTTTTTTTTGTATTCTTTGTGCTTTCTGCTTTGTGTGTGTGTAAATGTGCGTCAAATCATTGTTTGAGATGATCATCAAACCTGTTATTGTGGCTACCGTGTAAATTAGCACTTGGCTTTGGCTACAAGTCACAAGTCGATGAATAAATCCCATCATCATATTTGCCATTTACCACTTTTGCCCGCTACCAACACATCTTCTATTCGCTCACATTTACTTCATGTTACTGCCACCGCCGCCGCCACTGCTCTTCTTCTATTTTCGTTGCTCAATTCAAAAGAATTACATTTAGCATTTTCTCATTGCATCGCACTAAATGCGCATGCAGTTGAATTATGATTATTGCTATTTAAGTCGTTCTACAGCAACTGATAATTTGTGAGTGCCGTTTGTTTTCATTTGCGAAGCATCGGATCAATGAAATAATGCAACAAACCGCACACGCAGTCGACAAAACGAGAAATTAGTCGTATTTTTTTTTATTTGTTGGATGCAACGGGCGGAGAATGAAAAAAAAAACGACATTGTAACTGCATAAAGAATATGCATCCAGAATAATCATAGCTTTTCACGATGCCACAGTTTTTTTTTATGTTGTTTCCATCATTTCGTTGGGTTTACTTTGGCTTTTCAGCCATTGATTTTCCACACATTTGTTTTTCTTCTAGCAGATCCCATTGCCATTCTGTACATTTTACAGAGCATAAACTAAATCCTACATTCGCACAAATTCACTGGCACCAAATAGTTCTGAAAGCGATGCGTGTGTGTCGCACTTGGATGGCAATTCTTCCAACTTTTGCTTGAAACAAAAAAACAACCAAACAAAAAATATATTCTTGCGTTTGAAGTTATTATATCGAGCGAAAGTAAGTGAAATATGATAATGAACTGAAAGTCTGTGTCTGTCTGTCTGTCAACGGTGGAAATGGGGGAAAAGTTTGCAGCAATGAAGTTCATTAAAAAAACAGCGCCGCCGTTCGTCAATACGATACATATAAATGTATGTACTAATGTTTTCATGCAACTCGCCTTTCGAATGGTGCACTAATCGATGGCATTTTGATTTATGCAACCTTCGTTTCAGAAAAAAACAACCGGCCAAGTTTCTTCTACACATACACACACACCATGTCATGTCATTGCATTGCTCGCTTCTAATTTCTTCAGTTATGTATTTTTGTGGAAGAAAAATTTCTAGTATTTTACATAGACATATTTTTATGGGTTCTCGAATGACACGCAACGATTTACGAAATACGTACAAGTATCAAGTGTTCGATTTCCTAGGCAATCCTTTAATGTCAGCGCGACAAATTGCACGAAAAGCAAATGTGCATTGATTTTTTTTTTTTTGGTGAAATTACGAGCAGCCAGCCGACTCGTTTCGTTCGATAAACACACCGCTTAAAATATGGATAGCCATAAGTTTTGTGTCGAGTGCGTGGATTACCCATTTGAAAAGGAAGAAAATTTATATCTATCGTGAGATAAAATGCAAATATTCGTTAATGCGAATCGCAGAATCGATTTGACCGTTAGGAAAATGGCAATTTTTCTCTAGTGTTTACAGAGATGAATTGAATCGCATTAAAAACACACGTGCCAGTCCAAATCAGTGCGAAACGATTCGTGCGGAATCGAATTATTATCATTTCGTTTTGAATGTGCATAAATGCGATTATTATAAAAAAAAATACACGGGATTCAGGGCCTGAATGGGAGGGTTTCGAAGACGATGTACACATGTATATATTTCAAAGTGATTTGAAGCACCGCTTACATTTCTCATTTCATTCTACTGAAAACCGTTTATAATTGCTTGTCAACGTCATGTTTTCAATGCATCACATTCGTTGGAATGGAAATGAGTGAGCGAATGAACGTACAGCTCTCGAGAATCGGGTCTTCTTGTGCGTCGCATTGAAATTCTTTGCTCTATTCGAAGTGTTGTATGAAAATAAGCAACAAAGTGAATGTCTGATATAACGCAGCAGCGACAGCCGAAGATGGATGATAAGCGGAAAGAGTTGAAAGAGATTCGAATAAAAGTTTTACGCAAAGTTTGACATAGTAAAACCATTGCAATTTAGCATCAAACGTTTATTGTTTGTGCGTTGAAACAAAAAAGCATTTTTAGAAGAATACATGCGAACACAAACTAGATATGAAGGAAATGACAATACGACGTGCTGTTACAACGATACAAACAATATGTTATATCAAAATTTACATCAAGATTCGTACCGAAATCCAGCTACCACTTGCCGACAGCTTCAACAATCAGAATAATCGTGTTTTGGGCGGATTATACAAAAACTCCGACACAATTTCAACATTTCTCTCTTTTGTGCGTCTCTCTCTCTCTCTCTCTCGCTCTCTCTTTCTCTCTCTCGCTCTCTCTCTCTCTCTCTCACTCTCTCTCTCTCTCTCTCTCTCTCTCTCTCTCTCTCTCTCTGAAGCTACTTGGGGATGTGAAAGAATCGAAGAATATTTAACATGGAAAAAATCCAGTTAGACGACGAAAAAGACTAAACAAACAAAACTGAATTAGCAATCGGAATTTCGAAATCTCGTGTCAACCGATCCATGCACACCATTGAGCCGGCAACAAAATTGCAGAAGAGAAAAAAGGAGTCGCATGCCAATGAATAAGAAGAGTGTATATTGAAGACCGACGAGAGATAAGCTTGCGAAGATAAGCCGAACATGTAATACACAAGAATACGTGCATATTTGCGCTGAGTGCGAACAATCGGAAGCGTCAACCAAAAGAGCATTAAAGTACGAAATTGGTTATTACATAACCAACGGCTGACGTCTTGCTTTCTTTCGTTCTTTTATCCGTTCTTTTTTATTCGTTGTTTTTTTTTTCTCTCCTCTGTCGCGAATGGCAAGAGCACAAACACATATCTGCTAAATGGATAAATTATGTATGGCTTGAGAAAATACTTTGGTGTGAAAGCCAAATTCATAAATCGACATTGAGTTTTTAAGCGTGTGTATGTGTTTGGTTGCATAAATTGCAAGGCAACACAGAGAAAAAAAAACAGATTTTTCTTCAAACGACAAACAAATAACACATCGACCAAATGCATTGCCCGTATTTACGTATTAAATTGTGATGTCGCTTATTTCAAATTGGATACATGAATAAAGTGGTTTGCCGCTACTACTGCTGACATTGCATTGTACAATATCGACCAAAACATTGAAGAATTAAAAAAAAACCTCTTGGTGTGAGTAGCAAACCCGAACGAAACAGCACACTACACACAGCGACAGTCGGGTTGTCTCGTTCTAGTTGAAGCGGAAGAGGTTCGTGTTTCAACTAATGTCAAAGTCATCATATAACCGCCTCACTCACTCCAATGTGGATGTTGGTGTGACAGTGCGCCCAATGTACTGCGTAGCGACTTTCAGTATCGATACAAACGATGACAGCTACAAAAGTCGGAATGAAAGCATCGCCATTATTGTATCTACAAAATTCATGAAGTTTATTGAAAAATTTACCAGTTCATTCAATGGCATTCATTGAAAATTCATATTCAAACGGTGTGCAAAGTGTTTGCTAACGAATTTATCGGTTAAAAAGTTATCAGGCGGCTGTATGGAATTCAAATGGAGGTATTTAAGCAACATTGTTGGCAATGGTGATTTGGTCGAAAATCCTGTGAATATTTACAGCGAACGGTGATCAATATTCGACCTTATTGCAATGCAATAGGTATCAAAGTCATAACAAAACCACACTAATCGCCATTCTTATTTTCGACTCTCACATTTGTCAATTGTCAACCACGAAAACAGAAGATGTAAACAAAAACCAAAAGGTTATTTTGGCATTTGATTTCGATTCGTTTAAAATTTGGTAATTTTTTGGGTCATAGATATCGGCGATACCAGAAGCAGAACGCGAAGCAAGTGAAGTTTTGCATTCATTGTTGCCAGTTGAACGGATCGAAAGGAAAGACGAAAATGAAATTCACAGAAGAACGGAGGAGAATAATAGTAATGCTTCCGATGAATGGGAACAAGTATCACTGAATTGCCGAAAATCGACAAAACAAATCAATGTGGTAATTATTGTCATCAATGTGGAATTGATATGTATAAGGAGATGTTGTTCAATCCAAGCAATTTTTGCAAACACATTTTTAGGTAATTAAACATCAAGATGATGAAATTGGCGAGATAGTTGACGTAGAATTCAGTGATTCGGATGATAGGCCGCTGCCTCAAATCGAGCTTAATACACCGAAACCGTTGACTGAGGCGAGAAAGAGAGTTCGAAAAACAGTTAAAACGACCAAAACGAAAGGATCACAGAAAAAGACTGATAGTCGTAAAAATGATGACAAAGAAGCGGCACCAACGGAGCTCGAGAGTTCGGCTGGTGAGGTTAGTGCACGGTTGGCATTGGGTTGCGAGTGCCAGGGTGCTTGTTTCAAAGATTTACAAGCCGAAAGTGTTTATCGCCATCGTTTGAATATTGCTGAGCTGACAAAACAAGAGCACGACATGTACTTGATGGGTGTTACGATGGCATGTTTATCAAATCGAACGGAAACCAATCGCCATAAAGAACGAATACGACAGCGAGCAGTGTATGTGTTTCAGGGCAAGCGTGTTTGCTTGGACGCCTTCATCTATCTAGAAAATGTGACACAATATCATTTGAAGCGAATACGACGACATGTGATGCTGAATGGTGTTACACCACGTGTACACGGAAATGTTCGCAAGAAACCGCACAACGCACTGTCACTTGATTTGTACAAATTTGCCGAAAACTTTGTCAAATCGGAGTTAGCACAACACACCAATGATCTTAACAAAAGTGTCATTGTAGTGAATGAGCCACGAATACATCTGTACCAGAAATTTCGAGCAAATTGTCCAATCGATGGCAAATTGATGAGCTACTCAACATTTCGGCATTTTTTGAAGAAGCAATTTCCACATGTACGATTCTCTGTGAATCGACCGCTCGACAGCTATGCCAATCGGACCATTAAGCGCGAAAAGAAACCTACAAGAATGAAGATCGAACAAGGATCGCATTCGGGCACATCCTCCACCAATGCAATGATACAATCTGAAGATCAAAAAACCTACTCAATCGGCGAATATGATACCGAAGCGGCATCCGACATGGACGAACTGGACGAAGATGAAGAAATTTGCGTTGAATTTATCGCCAATGACGACAGCTATGAGAGCGATAACAATGAAAATAACGAATATCAAGATGTTGACTTTCTAGAATCCGAAGATGAATAATAATCTATTCCACTATAGTACTCTTCTCCACAAAGAGAACCAACTTTTTTTGTATTGTATTAGATGTATGAATTTTTTTTAGAACATGAACCAAATAAACATTGTATACCTTTTGTCTCATGGACGAAAGAGCATACCCATTTATTTGAGTGTGTCTTTTTTTGGATCGATGATAATTTTCCATTTATCAGACATGTAGAACAGGCGCATCGGAACAATTAATCCAAACCAGTATGGATTTTTGTGTGTCAATCATTCCCTCTGGAGAATTCGAAATTGAATTAAGAAATATTTGTTCCGAGCTTCTGGTTTCGACGAACAATGGAGAATTGGAGCACATTTCTATCACAATATGCGATATATAGCAGTAGTACTACGGTAGAACGCGCGTCAAACGGAATCAAAAGCTACGACGAATGCTGGGAATGCATTTTATGAGCCTCATTTCAATTTGTTTGATGAACTCTTTCATTCTGACAGCGACGCAAGAGAACAATGCATACAATGCGCCATATAAAGTGTTGAAAATAAAAAAATGATCATCCATATATACAAATATATATCCAGTTATTTGAGCGACTGGGCTCGTGTACATTGCAAAATGAATACGTACGTAATCAACAATGGATGATTATGTAAGAGATACATGATTATCACATTGCTCTAACAAATTCGCATATTGTTCTCGTCATTAGCATCTAATACAGTTTTCACCGGTCTATCTGTTGCAGCAATTTACCGGTAAATTAACGTTTTTTTTTCGTTTGTCGTAAATTCAAATTAAAGTCTATGATTACTTAGAGAAAATGATATGTAGAAAAAGAACATCCATAAATTACAACCACATAATATGTGAAAGGTATGAAATTGAAGCTTCTATACAACAACAACAGCAGCAACAACAAAAAAACGGTCTATAAATTGTAATTTTTTGACGCCCATTGAATTAAAAAGTTGAAATTGTTGATGATTCAAAATGAAAAATTGGTTGTGGCAAACGAGATCGGTTTGGCGGCATTGATGAGAGATCGAGCGAGCGAGAGAAAGAGAGAGAGAGAGAGAGAGGGAGGGAGAGAAGTATACAAGAATGTCTGTTCCAATTAAAATCATCAGATAAACCGTTCTATTTTCATGATTATGTAGCATTGTGAGTTACTTGTCTTGTATCAAACATCTCGATTCATTTTACACGAATGAACGAGAACTCATGATTTGAATATTATTATCTAGTAATGAAATCTTGTAAAAAATATTCTCTTTTTAAAATCTTCTGTTTGTCTATTTTTCGACCGAAACCTCAATCTTTATCGCTGGCACACAAATAAAAATGGCAAACGCAAGCTGAATGCGACCGTGTCAAAGCAGTGCATTGAAAAGTATGAAATCTCATTAAAAATCAATTCATTCCATTCAAAATCAAAAATCACATTACTGGGTGTAAGGTGCATTCGGCACGTTCCGTGCAGAGTTCAATGCCAAACTTGCATTACAAATGTGAATTCAATTTGCGATTCAGTTGCAATTGACGGATACCGAATCAATATTGATATGACAAGCTAATGGTTTTTTTTTCTCTTTGGTGTGAACAAAAGTTTGCCGTTTCCACTGTGACATCACATGACCGTCCTTATTTAATCTGTGTACCATCATCCGATGGCAATTTTATTTCTTTATGTGAGATAAATAAACATTTCCGATTTATTCGTTTATCGGCATGAGATTTACCGTCACACGTTCATGATTCTAGAATCTGAGAAATGTATTCTGTATCGTCATTTGTACGGTCGGTCGGTCGGTCTATGCGGTTGCATGCAAGAAAGTGTGGCACTGAGGCAGACAAAGAGAGAGCAAAATCTCCATTGAATGTTGGAAGTTCACATAAGCCGTAACAGATCTGAAGCTTGGTATCTAATCGCCGTAGTCAATGATTGCAGCCCGAGGTTTGAGAGAATTTCTTTGCATGGGTTCTCAGTGGCATTCGTTTTTCTCGGCATCGTCGGTTTTTTTTTATGTAGCATATCTCGTAATATTTGTTCTTCGGTGTAATTTTCTTTCGGCTAGAGTAAATACGTGTTGGCTTGTGTCGATGAACGGATCGGCGTTTTTCACGTAGCGATACAGTCGAACACATACAAACACAGCACAATAAACACACACACACACGCGCGATAGACTCAAAATGTGCGAGAGAGCGACGGTGGCAATCGTGAAAAGCCATAGCACATGAAATAGACTACAAACACACAACCAGCACGATTAAGTGGAAGAGCGAAGAGAGACGACCGAAAAATAACGCATGAAAATAATTATCTGTGTATTCCGTACGCTCTGTGCTCTCTGCTGTCGAATAATTTTACTTTTTTTTTCACTGGTTTGCGCTGTATGTGATTCTTGAATCGTAACACACATGGTTGAATCGTAATATACCATAACAAGTGATGGGCTCCACACTCATTTCGGATGTGCGCACGTTTCAATTGGTAGACAATCTGCTCAACGTACACACGATATATAATTTAATTCACACATTTATTCTTCTGGTTTTTTTTTATGTTTTGCTCTTATTATTGCTGTTGGTGCTACTGTGCTGCTGTGCTTCAGCAGCAGTGAACTCTAGAATAGTTTTTGGCGATGAATAGTCGAACGTAGTTAAGCAAATGTTCGACAAAAAAAAATTGCGAAAATTCACCGAGAGCAGTATAAATTTCGGTTGGTTGGATGTGCTTCGTTTAATCGGACATGTAAAGATGTTTATAGTGCTATAAAATTCTCTGTGCATCATTTTTTGTTTTTCTTCTTTTTTTTCATTTAATTTGTTATGGTGCTCTGCAATTCGGCCGGTACATTTACCATTGTGTGTTGCGAAAGCTCCACTATCATACTAACGATCATATCAAACACATGACGATCGTACGCACGCGACTTTGACATCAAATGCGACAATGACGACGAAGACGACTACAACAACAAAGAATAAAGCCGCACACTGCAAAAAATATCGTCGACACTAACGATACTAATGCACGCTGTGTTTAGCTATTTCTTCATTCAGTTTTCGCTACCTTTAAACTGTGCTGCTTAGTTGATCGTCCATTTTGCCACTTTTCGATTCGATTTATTTAGTATGTTTAGCAACGTGTTTGGGAAAGCAATTTGGTGTGTATGTGTCGGTTTGTAAGTTGAAAACGCGCTCCACAGCAATCGCATTCAGACTATTTTCGTGCCTTGTACCAAATTCCATTTTCCGAAAATTGTTTCACAATTTTCTGTGCGTTGGTGAAGTGATAAAAGTAATGAATTTGTATGAAGAAAAAACCAGTGAAAAAAGAAAAAAAAATAAGTAGTGAGATTGTGCGAAGGCTTGCAAGTGGGCAACGGACTTGCGAGCGCATAAAAAAAAATAACAAGAAAACAAAATTCAACACGAACAAAAATATCAAATATTCCGAGAGTATTATAAATATCGAGTGCTATAATTACGCCTATGTTTGCTCTCGTTCAGATAAAATATCTGATCAAATGTCATGCCCAGTGTGTGTTATTGATATTCGTCAACTGTGACAGCGACAACACTGTAAATGTGAATGTGCATCGGTGGTGTTTGTTTATTTTGTCGCGTAAACTATATCCATGGACCATTGTTTTGGTCCGGAGCGCGCGCGCACGATCGTATTATTCTCATCGTACTTATTTCAAATGGGAGCGCATAATTCACGTTTGCATCAGTTACAGCTACTGCTGCTGTGTCGTTTTTCTTTTTAATTCCTCTCACTCCCTCTGTCATTGATTAAATTAAAATAAAATAAAATAAAATAGTAACGACGAGTAGCTTTACGTTTCGTTGACACCAAGAAAAAAAGAAGAAGAAGAAGAAGAAGAATGCATAAAAACCACAAACGACAACGTTTGCCGTTGTCGACAAAGTAAAAGTGAATGTGATAAGGATTGATTTAGTTTTCTTATGCAAAATAAGTGAGTGGAAGCTTGGGAAAAAAAATTCCATTTTGAAAATCACAAACAACGTCCAAATCAATCATTCGATCTGGTGCGCATTGAATGAACACTTTGGGACCGCCGTCGTTCAAAAACTGTTATGTTAATTAACAGTTTTCGTTTAAGCTACAATCGCCATCGATACACAAACACACATAACACGTGAAAAAGTACAGATTGTTGCCAAACCATCAATTTTGAATTGAATTTCTCAACCAGAACTACTACATTGAAATTGAGAATTATCGGTTAATTTAGTGCAACGTCCCGTGGAAAATTGAAGAATCAAATTCTATGAAATTTGAACGAAAAGAATTTGAGATGTATTGTGAGCGAAAATATTGAAATGTAAGCGTTTGAAATGTGTTTTTTTGTGCTTGTGTTTGTGTTTGTATGTGAATCTTTTCATTGAAGACAAACAATAGAATCGGTCGATCGAATCGAGCGTTTAATGGCGAAAAACAGACCCAAAAATTTCTATTGTCGAAAATTGTTTGGCTTGAAAAATTGAACGGAAAGGATGATGGAAGTGAATACTGCAGTATAAAATGGATTTTATTTGATATTTGCATTGAGCATTAGGTAATACGTCCGACGCAAGTCAAATCAACCACTTGAATAAATCAAGTGACGCTTTTTCACCTGTTCTCATTCAAAACTTATCATGTAAACAACCTCGCATGGAATAATAGTGAGCAACGTAAAACATAGCATATTCCCGTGTGAGTGTATGTATTTATATATCGTACGTATCTTTATCAAAAATGTCGCATCAAGTACATTTTGATATACCCTCATGCAAACAACAGCCATGACGCCAAGATATAATGCATGATGTATGTGGTGGATTTGAAATGATTGTGTCCTCAATTGTCGTATATTTTAACTGAAATCGACCCCGTTGATGAAGCATTTCACATTTTTCAATTCACTTACTGTGAACAACAGTACAAGTGACTTACATTCATTCGGTGTGTCGTTTGCCCAGAGCAACAAATTTACGTCAATTCTCTCTCGGTGCATCGAGAGTGTCAGCTATCGAATGTATTATGCTTCAGGTTAAAAAAAAAATTTCGTCTCTCGTTGGGCGGAAATGTTTTCTGGCTCTAGTTAAAACATGAATGAATTTGTATCTCATCCGATGCTAAAGG